AAGATTTTTTCAGTTAGGCATTTGGCTTATTCACGTCAGCAGCTGTAAATCACAGTTGTTTGTAAGGGAAATAGTTTGGAAGCAGATTTTTCCTGATCTGGATGTTTTTTTTTCGAGCAATCAACCAAATCAGTGTATATGACATTGACAATTTAGAATTGGACATATTTGGGTGTTCCAAGAGACGATTATCTCAAAAACACATTAGGACAGAGTTTGGGATTGATTAAGCAGAAAAAGAAAGTGTATGGACAAGTTGAATCGTTTTTTTCTCCATAATCAATGGTAATGCAGTCAACTGCCAACTCCTGTGTGTATATGTGAATAAAACATACACAAAGGAAACATGGAATACCTAAAACCATTTGTTTTTAGTACAATGCCATAACTATTGATGTAAAACCTTAACTAATTATGGTCATTATCGAGACGGGGGGAAAAAAATGGTTAGATTTCAGCACTTTAATTAAAATCTAATGGGCTACCTTTGCTGTAATCATTATATTTGTCCAAAACCAATTTTCCTTTAGTTATACTGGACCTTAAAATGAACAAAACTGACGACAAACATTATGGTCTAATTTTCCTCTTATTTTCATGGATGTATGTTTAAAAGCCAGATTAGTGCCAGGACACTGAGTTCTTTCCAATTTTAAGTAATCCAGGTAGATCTAATGTAAAAGTCTGAGTCTAAATGCACTATTTTACATCCATGTAATTAATTATTAATTCATCAATTAATTAATCAATTAATTAATTTCTGTCAAGTCTTCCTCACCAAGATATACAACAACAGCTTAAAAAGGCTGATTTGCAAACTTTGAATAAAGGGAGTGAAATTGGAGCCTTAGAGCTTTTCTTAAAAATCTTAAACAGAAATGGAATTGAAAAAAAATAAAAAAAATACAGACAACTCACTCTACTCAGAGTAAAGTGAATATTTGTCTATATTGGTGCACATATTTGTACAAGTTGATGCAAACTGTCAAGGCTGTAACTTTTTAATGAAATTTGGTGGGGACACTCTTAGGGTGGGGGCTGTGGAACCACAGTTAATCGACACAAACGCTTACAATAGGGTTTGTATTTTCCAAAAATGACCTCAAACATATATTTATTGAATGCTTTCCTAGTGTTGAGAACACAAAAGAACCAAAATACACTGATATTTATATTTATACATATTTAGACAATAATGTATTGAGGCCAACAGCAAGACATCATGCCTCCCTAGTATGTACAGAATTTCAGTTTCATTCATCCATTCATCAATCCATCCAGAAAAATGTGGACTGATTGATTGATGTTTTCTGTTTCAGCGACATTAGTGAATATCCTCCTTCAAAAGCAGCAAAATCAAATTTAGAAATTTGTCCCACATATTGCCAAAGTCTATGTATTGAAATTATTGGTGGGGACATGTCCACACCAGTCCTTCAGTGTGCACACTTTAAATGTCCACAGGCTTGCCACAATGCAAACCAAAACAACTGTTAGCTTTCTGCCTCTTCCCTAAATTACAGACACCATATCAGTCCAAATACATGTTAACAGCACCTATAAACAGCCACACAGATCATTCTACAGTAACTAATGAAACAAGTCACTACATTGTCAATTGGTTAAGTGAACGTCTCCTCTGAACCATGACAACAGATTCAGAAAACTGTGAGAAACCCTTCTAAAGTGTAATAAGAAAACCGGATAAGGATAAAAAAAGAATCTTATAATTAGCTATCAGCGCATTATGTGCAACATTAAAGTGGGTGAAACTGATTCCATTACCAAATGATAGAGAAAGTGAAACATAAAAAAAAAACAAGCTGAGAATCATCTCTGTGCTTCAGTAGGTTGAGGTTAAAAGTCACTTTATATCTGGAAAAGAAATCCCCCCAAGGTGAAAAATTGTCAAGAACAGCTTTATAATCATATCTAACAAGAAGAGACAGAAATACGTGTGTGCAGATCTTTGCCAGATCACTGGAGAACACCTATAGTTCTGCCTGTGTCAGCAGTTTGTTTGGGTTTCTAGGTATCCTTTTTTAAAATGGATAAAACCAGGAAAAGATATTTAATTCCCAGTCATGCCAATAATTGCTGACGTCCAACCAATGACTCGAAAATTCATTTAGTTGTGAGGTTTAAAGCGACCTTTTTTGAGCTGGTGAAACAAATGAGACAAGATTTGTTGAACTGCAGTTTAAAAAAAAAAACAGTTTTATTTTCTCTCTATCAGGATTTCTGAAATTAACATAATCTGTACAGCATGCCATTTAATGCAGAGGTTTACATCTTATGACAAGCCTTGATTCAACATACCTGCTTGCAGCAGTATCAGTATACTATAACACCTTTTTTTTACGATAGCCATGTTTTTGAAGCCAGGAATAAACCCAAAAGCCCCAGTGTTTAATGCCTAACATAGCTTCTACCTGCAGATTATTGATAATTATCCCTATCTTTTACACAGCAGTGCTTTTCAGTCAGGGATATAAATGGAAAATAAAAAAAACTATTTTTTTTCTGAGACTTACACGGAGTTCAGGTAAACTGTATTAGTTAGAATAAAATATAGATTTTTAAAAAATATATATTTATATATTTCATTGAACATCAAACAGGTCTGGGAATAAACTCCAGAGAAGTTTCAGCCAAGGTTATATTGATGAAGAATGTCACGGGCACTGAACATTTCATGGAGCACTGCACAAGCTATTCCTGCTTATCTGTGCATGGATAATCCGGTCTCCATATCTAATGACATGCTGGACAAGGAGATTATAAATCAGAGATTCAGTCAAATGATTGATTGTAGATCTGTGTATTCAGGTAGGTGAATCTGTTGGGAGGAAAACTAGTACTCAAGTGTTACAAAAATGTAGCCTCAATGACATAGTGCAACAAATAAAATCATTTTTGAATGGAACCCATAATAAATCCAATCTACAGTTTGCCAAAAGCCACGAAAGACACAATGAAGGTTAAAGAAGCTGCTCTGCTCAGATAAGACCTATATTTAACTTTCTTGCTCAAACACAAAAGATAACATGTTGGTGGTAGCAGCATGCTATGGGGATGGTTTACTTAAGCTGACACAGGGGTGCCGGTCAGACTGAATGAAAAGATGTGTGAAGATTAATACTTGCTAAGATGAGGAAAACCTGTTCATCTTTGAGTGGAAAATTATTTCAAACATAACCCTTAAAAAGGCGAGTTAGGTCCGGGCTTGGATCAGTTAACCGTGCCGATCTTGGTTCCACCACGCTAGCATGGTTCCTCGCCTCCTAGTGACGATCTAAGGTACTACTGCTCTCTAGGATTGAAGGAGGGAATCAAGCAAATTAAAATGGCGGTGCCTGTAACATTCAGGAAGTTATGTTTGGTTATAATTGTGATATTTAATTTTTTGCAGAGAGTCAGGCGAAGAAGGCAGCCTTTGGTGGATTTACTTGACAGAGTAGGCTTTTGGGAAGTGGAAACGACAAACAATAGTCTAATCAGGGCTTACAGACGCAGGAAACAATGTCAGACATTGAGGTTCGTCACACTGCTAAGCAGAATCATCACTGGAAGTCATGTGGCATGGTAGGGACGCTAGTAATTTTATGAATGTCTGAAATGTCATGATTACAGAGGCTGACTGTAAGGAGGTGACACAGTCTGCTAATGTGCTCTTTGTTATCTGATAAACGAGCCAGAGCTGAATCGCGTCAAGCCCTACGGTTCAATAATACTAGTTTAGCGTGGTTCTGTTGTGTCTGGCACGACCCAGTTCAGTTTGCGTGCCATTTACATACAACAGTTATCTCAGTTTGTGCTTGGACTGATCTCAGCATGGTTTCAAAAGGGTATTGCAAAAGGGGCATAAGGATGCACCCAATCTAACTGTTTTAATAGGCAAAATAATCTGTCTTTGAATAAAGCAAAAACATCCCCCAAATGACCTGGTAACACAGACTCTGTGCATACATTGCAACAGATTGGCATATTACACATTTTTCTTTCTTTTTAAAATCTTACACTATTTTTTGTTAGTCTTCATAATTCCTACCAAAACCTGCAAGGTAAGAATGTATTTTTTAATACCTGTGTGTGCTCCAGAAAGTGAGCTGAGAACACGGGAATGTTGCGTCGGTCCATCATATACCTCCACTATATCATTCAGAGCAGTCTGGAAGAAGGCAAACTGGCTGAAGACCACTGGGGGAAAAAAACAAAAACAAAAAAAGAGCAGGGAAACAATGAGGAAATAAAACAACAGGATACTCTTTTGAGTTAATCTAAAATGAGCTAAAGTATCCATAAAAATGGCGCTCTGGTTTATAAAGATTTAAGAAAGGGATATCAAAAACAATTTCAATCAAGCTGCTCTCCTTAAACATGGTGGATCATGCTGGCAGGTATAATAATAAAACCAAAAACTGACATTACAAGGGGGGATTAGAACACCTGTCTAGACCTGATGGCATGTCAGAACATGACAGCCAGTCTGTCATATGATGTGTAGCTAAAACTCCTTAAGGTGACATTCATTGTTTCAACCAAGATGCTTATCTGGTTTTATTTTAATAGTAGACGAAAACTATTTTTTTTTTTTTTTTTGTATTTCTGATCAACGCTGCAGATTTAAAAGATTGCACTACTACCCACTTTTTATAGGGTCTGATAAACCTAATAAGTTATTTTTCAACAGGATATTGCTATGAGGATCTTTTTCTAGTTTAATATCTGTGTTTACTTCAACATTTCTTGAATTGTTGTCAATAAGTTAAAACCATTGGTCACTATGACACCCACTAAGTCATCTGCACTGAGTGAAATACCCTATTATTAGCTTGGTGCATGCACCTAATGAGAAGCTGGTAAAATGAAGGAAAAAAAGCTTTTGCTTCTCTGCACGACAAAGTGAGCTGCCTTGGGCTTAGCCGTCATTATCCAGGAAAATGCAAATGTGAATTTTAATCATTTCAATTTTTTTCTCACTATGACCTAACTGAGCGAAATATGTAGATGACTTGGTTCAAGAGAGGTGTATGGATGCAAAAAAAAAAAAAAAAAAAAAATTCAGAAGACTGGAATGAAATAAAGTCAAAATCAAACAGGAGCTGATGCTATTTGGGGTAATTTAACCATGACAGGAGCTTTTCCCAAAAGAGACACGATGCTGATAACTCATTAAAAAACTGGTGCTGAGAGGAAAAAGTAGCAGGAGATAAAAACACAGAAAATGCCAACAGCTGGTTAGAGAAAAGTGTAGCAGAGAGTTGCCTTCGATGGAAGTGAAGGACATTTTGAATGTACTCGTTTGAGCTGGATTCTGCATTGTTTTGCCTTCTGAATAATTTGATGCCGCTGTAGTATCCGATCAGATATTGAAAGGAAAGGATGACCTTTAAGATGGAAATGGCAAAAAAGCAGTGAAACTCGAGAAAATATGAATCTTCCAGGCAGCAATTATATTTTCCTTTGTGTGTGTAGGTGTGTATGTGATAAAAATAGTAAATATATGATGATTAAAATGCTCTACCAGTCTACAGTTAAAAACAAACAAACAGCTATAATTCCTGTGGAAATGTGTTTGTCAGTTACTGTGTGATTTCACCATGAGTAGAATAAAATGGGATATATGCATTCCACAGCCCTCCCAGGAGTAGCAGCTTGATTGGAAGTGAAAAGACAAGTGACTCGCTGAGCTTCTAACAGTTTAACACAAGATTGCTTTCTGCTTTTTCTCTTACACTGTATTTTCAGATACTTTGGGAAAACAATGTTTTCGTCTGTTCTTTTCGTTTTTAGCTGTGAGAAAAGATGAAAGTCAGTAAGTTAAATTTAGCTTAGTGAACTGCAGTTCACCGCTTCTAGGGGCCTACTGAATTCATCTATTTTTAGTAATAATAATAAACTTGACTGACTGAAAAACAATTAAGAATGTGCTTGTCCTTGGCTTACCGTAATCCTTGGGAACAACTACGGAGTACATGCAGGTTCGAGAGCTGGAATAGTTGCCAGGGTAACCAGGAGACAGGACTACTCCCTCTAATCCAGTGTACTGTCCACCACATGGTGCTGCAGAGGAACATAAAAATGGGACATAAAGAGAAACCGTGAAGTAGAACAAGACACAAAAGGAAGGTCTAAAGGTAACCGGGGGCGGTTCCATTTCTCCTCCTTCTCCCCATGCTCTCCATTCCACCGTTCCTAAATTACTTTTCCTGTGCGATTGGGGTTTGGATGGAAGATGTCTCTGGTGGTTGCAACAGTGAAATTGCCATGTTTTCCAAGTGTCCATCTGGGTTAGCCTGGTTGTGATGAGAGTTTCCTCTCTCAAGTTTAAGCCCCTGAAAACCCTCTGTGAGAGCCTGGAGCTTTGTTGGGATGCTGTACAGGTGCATTTCAACAAATGAAAACATCTTCAAAAGGTTAATTTACTTCAGCTATGAAACTCAAATAATAAATAGAACTTTCCTCCAAATACAAATCTCTAGGATGCCACTAGCAGAGCGAAAGCAAGACTACTAAACAATCCTTAAGACTTTGCTTTGTCGGGTCAGTGTCTGCATACTGCAGGCTTTGTCTGCTGCAGCTATAGTTGCAAACTTTTTCCTGTGTTGTTTTGCTGCTTGTACTGTGTTTGGTAGCAAATGCAGCCAACTGCAGCGGTACTTTCTTCTTGCAATTTAAGATGTCCAGGCAAAGAGGTCGGGAAACCTGACTGCTTCTTGGCACAGGATCCCCTACATATTGTTCTGTGCGACAGCAAGGAAGTTGGCAGAAATACCTATAAACTACACTGTAAAAAAATCAAAATCTATATAAGTCATTTTTTATTAAAATAAGTGCATTTGTTCTTGAATTGAGGAGGTAAAAGAGAAATTTTTCCAATGGAACAAGACAATTTACATTTAAAATAAGAAAACACAATTGCGTTGTCTTATTTCAAGTGCAATCTATCTAATTATCTTATTTTAAGAGTAAAAATACTCATTACATTTGCAAATCATCTCATTAACCTACTCAAATTAAGAGAATTTTGTACATATTTCTAGATCGTTATTCCAGTGTAATTTCTTTTTTAATGAACACAGCGGATAGTGAGCTAAGTGCTTGTAAGGGATGGCATTCATTTTGAAAAGTTTCTCCTGTTGTTGTCCTGTATTGGGTTTTGCCACTGTCTGTAATAAGATGCTCTTTGTCCTTCCTGGTACATTCTTTAGAGTGAATGAAGTAAGTAAGCTGGAAATTAAATAATAAGGGGCTAATTTTCATTTGGCACAGGAACATGCTAGCAACAGGCATGGTGGAGAACAAATGTCCCAAATTCACACATTTCGACATTTATTTGCCTCATTAAGGCTGCCGAAGCAATGAAGAGACTGGGCTCAACTGCTGCAGAGCTGAAATAAAGAGCCGAGGAAGCCCTATCTTTCAGCAGAAGCTCTTACTGCTATGAGCCAACAAGCTAACTGGAGCTAGTATTCTTCTTCATGCCTACTATGTAGAGCCTAGGTAGAGCTCCCCCTATAGGTTATGTGGGAAACAGTTCAGTAGATATCAGCAGCTTATAGCCCGGTACAGCTTATAGTGAAGTGCACTCTAAAATATGGAAAATACAGTAAACTTTCAGAATGGGGCAATCGTCATAAAATACACTTTAGTTTTCAGCACGAACTCAAAAAAATCCACAGATAATGAAATTAAGAAATTACACTAAAGATTTTCAACTCTACAACATACTCCCAGCAAATTACTTAGACATGATTAATGCTAAACTACCATTTCTAATTTCTAGCATTTTCAATGGGAAAATGTTCTTAGAAATACAAATTTTAACATACAAACCACATGTTCAAAGTTATTCTATTTTTACTGAGAGATTCAACTACTTTGTAGATACATATTAATTATTCTCGGTAAAAATATTTCCCAATGATTCTAGGGAATATGCAAATTTTTATGTAAAACTGCATAATGGATATTTATCAGCTCAAAACCACATAATCAATGTTAACAGAGATAAACAGTATACCCCAATTTCTGTGTGTTTTATCGATACCAAAAATGATCTGGTGTGTTTCAGTTAATATGCTTAACTATTTCTAACTTGACATAATATAACTTGTCTTTGATGCTCTAATTTATTTCATGTGCATCTCCATGGGTGTGTTTTTCTTTTTTGTGCTATAAGGAAGTAACGCACAGAATCAGAAGCAGGGTTTCTGCTGTCAGGTATCTTTAACCAGCTTTCCAGGGACTTGCACACTGCATGTGGTAGTGGTGTCACATACATATCAGAGTTTCTCTGAATGGAAGGTAAGATATGCAAAACAGGGTGCTCATCTGAAACCTCAGATTAAAAAAAAATAAATAAATCCCACACAGCTCTGCAAATGTGTACCTGCAGGACATATCTCAGTAGAAAAGCAACATATGATGATTTAACCACATGAATGTTTACGTGTGATAAATCTATAAACTCAGACATGGTTTGTGCTCCAAACAATCAACTCCAGATGTCAGTGTTTACCCATGCAGATGGGTTTGGGTTTGTTCCAGCTCGGCTTGCCATCTCCCCCCATGATGCAAGTGAGCGTCGCATCTCCCTCTAGAGTATAGCCGCTGTCGCAGTGGTAGCTGACAGTGGAGCCCAGCTTGAGATCGGAGCCCATCCGCGTCCCATTACGCACAAGGCCAGGTTCGAAACAAGATTCCCTGGGGTTTTCTGTGGAGAGTCGAAACAGAGTGGTTATTCTGTGACAGATGGAAGCATGTGGTTTTCAATAGAAAAGATTTTTTTGCAAAGCTCTGCTCTATATGCTGGAATATAAAATGTTATGTGCCCGAGGTTATTGATACACTTGGATTTTTAACTCCTTTCTTATTGGGTGTTTTTTATTGCTTTTTTTTGTCCTATTTTCCAGTTTTCTGCAACTCTGTGCTGTCCAGTTCTCAGTAAATATATCTCAATGACTGCCACTTTCTCTACAGCCCCTGTCAGTGGCCTCTCATCTGTGGCTACTGGGGTATGTATGGTTGTGAAAACAGACAGGCAGCTGATTGAAAGTGGCATGGCTCTGGCCCAAGGTCTGCTGACTGTACATAACCGCCTCTCAAGCAGCATTTCTCTGTGCTCTTAACTTGAGAAGACAATGCACATACGCAAGCTTTCTTTATCAAACACCCCCGCCACACAGCCCTACACACCCCACTCGTACACGCTCTGCTTCTACCCACATATCAATCACCGACCATAAGGTCGTAAGATAGATGTCTTGCTTCATTTAGCAGAGCATTGTTCAAGGTGGAAAATGTGCATGTGAGATGCAGCCTGTCAATTTGGCACTTTTAACACCTTTAAAGCTAAGATAAACATAGGAAAGCTGCCTGGAGTCATTTAGCTCACTCCTAAACACAGCATATTCTCTTATTAAAGCAAACTTGCATATCTGATAACTTGACAGACAAATGGGAAGGTGAGTCAAAACTTTTCAACAGTCAGACATTTTTTAAGTTAAAACCTACCATCTGACAAGGATGCAGAACAGTCAGTCAATAACTTGACAAGAGCTTCAAATTAACAACATATAGGTTAGATAGTAAACCATTGCAGTACTGTCTGTGTGGACTAGAATAGCATTTACTAAATTTTGCATTTGCCCCATGTTGGTGTTTTTCATGTTAAAAACACAATCATATATATAGATTTTTTTTTTATTTAATGTGATAGGTTGTATTAGAGTAGTGCATTTTTGTTACATGATTAAAAAATATATATATATATATCAAAAAAATCCTATTCACATCTTCAAAATCTGGAAGCACTAGTATGCTGTTGTACACTTTATTTGGCCAAAAGCTGGGAGGTAGGTGAGAGCTGAGACTAAAGTAGAGGTTCCCTTTTTCAAAGAAATGGTGGCCACATTCAGACTGCTCAAGCTACAGTACAATTACATTTTCCCAATAAATTCTTAGTCATGTTTTAAAGTCTCCAAATATATTCAACTGTGATAAAATGGCTGCACACAAAGCAAAATCGTATTGATCTTGAGGTATTCTGAAAAATGGGCAAACAGAGGCCGTTTCTCAATTCACAAGAATGTGAGTACGGACTCGTGTCCTTGCCAAGTATATTCCAAAGAAGAACACAGGAAAGTATGGACTCAGGGAGAATGGGAGAAGGGAGCATAGATATGGGTCAATTGGAACAGAAGTGTACTAGTGACTTAATAAGAGTAACTTAATACTCTGAGCTCTGTGAGCGCTCCACTGGAAGCTGCTGCCGCCGCAGTGCATGCTGGGACAGCTGTCAATCCCAAGAATGGAGAAGTCTGCTCTGATGCATACTCGGTAAAGACGGAGGGACGAGAACAACATCCGGGGACTATGTCAGTTTTCAGTCTTCTTATTCTTGTGAATTGGAACAGTACTAGGGCTGAAGGTGATGACGTGTCACAAGCACATTAGAACACGCAAGTACACTTATTGAGAAACGGCCAGAGTTGATGAGATATGACCAAACAGAGTCTTTGATAACAATGTTGTAATGGTGGCTTGACTAACTGACTGAGCCAAAGCATTAACTTGTTGTTCTCTCTCCAAACTGACCCAAATACCAGAGCCAAACATTTCTTTGTGCCATGTTGTTTCTCTGAAACTGAGGAGAGATAATTTATGGATTATTTGGTTATGGTTCATTAGTGTGGAGAATTGGAAGTGGGGTGAAGGAGGTTTTTTCTCTGAGCAACACACTGGGTCCATCTGCTCTTCCAGATTGGCCATACAATAATCACACACTGTATCACATAATGCAGCGAATATCACTGGGACTGAGTTAAAAAGCAAGCTCTGTAACAGTTGCTGTCTTTTTTTCTGGGTTGGGGGAGTGGTTGTTGCTCAAACACACAACATTATGAAATCTCTCTTTCTACAAAAAAAAAACAACCAAAATATAACTGAACAGCAGCCAGCGAGCAGAGAACCTAGGGTCGATTTGTAATTGGTTAAATGTCTGATACCTTAAACAGCTCTAATTGAAACAGCGAGATTTAAGAAGATTTACCTCTACCCCCTTAAGGATAAGGATAGCATAAAAAATAACACTTATCTGATTTAAAGCTTTTTCAGCTTTTACTATTCAGAAACTAAGTCATTTCTTCTGTACCTATGAGAAAAAAGAAACTACAACACTCATGTGCTATGTTATGTTAGACTGACATGGACCCTCTTTCAAGGACTCCTGTGATAATCTTGCAATAGATAAGCAGCTCAGGATGCTTTACAAGAGCACATAAATCTAGACCTCCCCAAACAATGTGCTGCGGTCAGCCAAGCTCTGACATAGGACAACAAAATGCTGTTGGCTTTAATTTATTAGGGGCCTTTTGTGCAGCTGCGCTGATCAAAAAGAGCTTAACCATGCAAACTGTCAGCTTTTAATTTTCATAATTCTTTGTCTTAGTAGGCTACTGGACTTCATGCATCAATAATACCACCAGTAGGCAGACAATGCCAAGAAAGCTTACACATTAAATGTCATACTTTTGCTGCTAAAATTTACTATACCGGTAACTATTTTCTACTGTACCAATTTAATTTCATGTGAGAGTTTAAATCTGAAAACCTGCAATTACTGTAGAGAGGCAGGAATGCAGGAAAGAGCATAAGAATGGAAGAGATAGGCAAGATGGACTTGAGGAGGAAAGATCGGTGAAATGCAACTTTAGAACAAAAAGAGAGGTGAAAAGACTTGGGAAATTTCTAACTCATAATCCTTATTTCTATATAATTTTGTGGACCTCATAAGAACTATAGGTTTTGAATACCAACCTTCTCTTACTTTAGACAAGAAAAAATATAGGGAAAAAAATGAGAAAAAAATACTACCTCACTATGCCAAAGTAACTTAACCATGGATTGGACAGGGATTAAAGCTACACCTCATGTTTAAAATTAACAGTAATTTTAAGACCATTAAAATAAAAGCAAAATAAGATACAAAAATGTCCTAAAGACACAGATTCATAGCTCTGTTGAATTTGCCTTGAGCCAAAAGTTTGTACCTGTATACTGCAGCACAAATCCATTACTGCTGAGAGAAGCGTCACTGCGGAACGCCATGAAGAGTGTGTTGGAGCTGCTCTCAATGCGATCCGGAACGTCGGTGCCATAGAAACTACCCAACAAGGGGCTCAGGGAGTCAGGCCCATCATAGATATGCAAGAAGTCATAACTGGGCTCCAGGCTAAAGCTGGTTGGAGACAATCACATTAAATAGGAATCCGGATATCTGCTGCATGGATGAGCAGCAAGCAACACCACAACATTCTTATATGTAACTTTGGAGTAAATGAGAGCACACAAGAAACATTTATTCAATTCAACACTTAACAACTTTTTTTATTAATATGATATCATGCAATAACAATTTTTCTGTACTACAAAAACTTACTGGTTAAAGCTGAGAGAAATGACATAGTCTTGTGTGACAGTAACCCTCCAGTCACACTCTCTTCCATGTGGGTAAGGCTCAGGATAGTCTGGCGACAGAATCAACCCACTTGGACCTGTAAGGTTCCCTCCACATGGAGCTATGAAGAGAGATAAATGCTTTACAAATCACTGAAAATAAACCTAACCCTGGAGGATTTTCCAAAATAGTCTCAGTATGCACAGTTTCAGCTGAATGGGTAAGAATGAGCATCTCACGGTATTGTAACTTTAAGTGGAAACGCACCTCTTTCACTCTATCCTAGTATTACCACAATGGCCTAAAAGAAAATTCTAACACATGGTCTAACTGCTTTTATTGCAAAGGGAATGGTAACCTTTGTGTTTTATATGAAGCTTATGATGTTAAAAAAAACACAAAATCCAGTTGTATTTACAACTCTTAGCTAATTGGCTGCAGTTTACTAAATCATCAATAATAGTTTTTTTCCAAAAGTGACGATTGAGGATCTGTTATTTCACACCCCAGATTGTTAGGGTTTCTAAAATGCATAATAACTTTGTCTTTTAAGCGTTAGAAAAGTGTGGTGGCCGTTTTCTCCTGCCAGCTGATCAGCAGTGCTCAGCGGCAGCAGGGTGAGAGCCCTTTTAGTAGTATCCAAACAAAAAGTTTTTAGAATTTAAAAACGGTGAAAAAAAATGCTATTTTAGACCCTGGGTAAAATATTTTATGTGTGATTAGAGTATCTGTGGTCTAAATCTTACAAATACCCCACAAAAACAGAAATAAACACTCAGCCTACATTAAAGAAGATTAATCACCAGACCACATGCTCCAAGTAGGGAAATACCTGTATTTAATAATATTCTAAAATGAAAATGCAGTAGTTAGTGATCCTCTTATGAAGTCACTGGTAAAAATAAATAAATAAAATTACACATTACAAATTACACATAAGCAGTTTTATACTGGCCATTCCTGTCTGAAAACAACTAAGTTGTACCCAAAGGTGATAAATATTTAAAAGTCAAATAATTTTATTTTTTTTTATTATTAGAAAAATAAAACGTCGCAAAAATAATAAAACTTTTAAAGTTGAGAATGTTTCCTTCATGTGGGAATGTGGGAAAGGGCAATCGATTTTAACATCTATCTAAAGTATGATTACATGTTTTATCATAGACCAATTGATTTTACCCTAAGAAAGAGAAAAAGCTTTTTTTCTCTATATTTGCAATTTTTTGCGACCTCGCTATTGTAGTGCCATATGCAATGGTTTTGGACATTGGGAACCAGCGTCCATATTTCATCTTGACATGATGACCAGAGAAGAAGATGCAATTTTGGCTCATAAACAGCTGTAAGGCCTGTGCAACAAGTACGGTATGTGCAGAATTATCTTTTTGACCATGATTTGAGCTCGATTCAATCTTTCATTTCTTGTTCTAACACACAGCTAATAGGGCGTGTGTTCATAAACAATATATAACAGCCCAAATAATATCTGATTAAATAAGATATTTACTACCCCTACCGGGGAGGGCAATAAACATCTTAAAGTATCAAAAAATATGAATTCCCAGCTGGCTTGAAATTGAATATAACAGTTATTATCAACATTAATATGGTATCCAACCTGGATCAGCATTGAATATAAAATCACAACACTACCAATAGAAAATGGTTTAAATATGGACATACTGTAGCCATTAGTAGAGTAAAACTGCTAAATTGTTTCACCTGAATATTTTTTTTATCCTTTGACATGTAATATCTTACATCACAGCAGGAGATAATAAGGGTGAGATTATAAAGACATTTCAACTGAGAGTCAAACTCTCATCCCTACAGTAAAATGTGAGTAAAGTTCAACCTCATATAATAATCTTGTCTTATTGAAATAGCAAAGCTTAAGCAAGGGAGCTACTTACATTATTATTAACTCAAGATTTGATGTATGGAGTAAAAGTGATTTTCAGTATCTATAAAAGTCAAGATATTGAGGTCAGTATTTTTTCCTGATGTGAGAAATTATATATTCTCTGCTGTTACAACAGAAAGAATTCAGGGAACAAAACAATCTGCTTTTGCCCCTTAATGATTTTAACAGCGAAGCACACACAAAAGATTTTTTTTTATAAAGTACGACTTTAAAAATAAAACATTTTGTATCACAGAATTTTTCAAGGGGATAATTAAGAGTGAAGAAAATGTATGAAGGTAACATCTTGATTGTTAATGTCAAGTAAGATAAGTTAGGCATAACTAAAGACTGCGTGCTGTGTTTGCAGAGTACCTGTGCATGTTGGAGGGTCTGGTTGCCAGAAGAAGCGACCATTGATCTCTGTGCATGTGATTCTGTTGGCCCCCTGTAAGATGTAACCAGGATCACACTGGAACACCACATGGTCCCCGGGCTCCCTGCTGTCACCGCTGCGGGTACCATTAGTCGGCATGCCCGGGTCATTGCAGGAGGTTGCAGTAGAGACTGAAAGAGCAAGAAGGGAATAGATCATAGAAACAGCATCAAAAGACTAACGTGTTACAGTATAGAAAGTAGTCTGTGTTGATTTCTACAGCTGAGCCATCAGTGTTAAACTAAATCCCACCCAGTTATGTTCTCACTTTCCAACCTTCCCATTACAGTTTCTATACATTTATGCTTACCAGAAAATTGCAAAGCAAAGCCTTGCTTGCTTGTAAAAAAGTCTGTTGTGAACTGCAGGGTAATTGTATTAAAGGTGCTGTGAGCATCCGGAGGCAGAGCTGAGCCGCTCAGTTCCCTCAGCAGGACTCCTCCATCCTGAGGACCATCCCAAATTCGAAGCACGTCATGGACCTCCTCCGTGTGGAAAACTAGGAAATGGAGACTAAAAAGAAGCACAAACAAGACACGGCAATGGCCAAATTAAATTAAAGAAATTTACAAAAGCATCAAAAGAAAATATGCTTATGATTAACTAATGGCAATAACATTGAATTTGTCCATTTGTCATTATTTACATGACTTTAAAACAAATTAAACGCTCATATTGGATGAAAAATAAGAGTTAGTAGAGAGAAAAATAAGGCGGAGAAATTTAATTTCTCGAAATCTAAAATCTTTTAATAATTAAGGTAGTAATCACACTTTGGAAAATATTCTTTTAAAGTGTGATTGAGATTGGTTTTATTAATCAATAAGCAGAACTAAAAAACAAAACATGGAAGAGAAGCACAAGCAAAGCTATAGAAGAGCAAGTTTGCAGTTTGACACATGCTCTACAAGAGAGGCAGAAAACATGGACAGACATCTGGTGAAAGCATTTGGCTATTTAGCCTAAAAAACATCATGGAAAACGGACCCTGCACATCCCCATCTTCACTTATAATTATTGTGATAGCACCACCATCCTGCGGACATGCCTGTTTGGGCTGGAATAGTTGGCTTGTATATTATAGCTAAAGGTTTTTCTTGGTAGAAAAACATTAACTGCAGATAACTTGAGACTGGGGCAAAGTTTTAGCTTCCGATAGTACTGAGAAGATAACTCTGTAGCCATGCAACCAAGAAAGATCAAGCAACATGAATGTACACAAAAACCTTAGAAAGAAAGAAAACCAGTTAACAGTACTGTATGTTTAGAACAAATGTAGAAAAGAAATACCATTTTAAGGAGAATCATAAAAGTCAGATCAGGAGCAGTCAATATCAATTTCACAGTGTCAGTTAAACCTAAAGGTATGCAGCAGTAATTTAAAATCAGTTTTGCTGCTGATGCTGTCAGAAATCTTCTCTTCAATCTGGTCTAGACAGCTGTCAGCCAGCTGCTGGTCCAATGCATATAAAAAAAAAATCCTGTGTTGCTCTGTATGTGTGTGGGGTTGTGCAGGTGCACTAGCATAAAAACCGTACATTCATAGTAAGATTCTGCTTAGGGATTCGTTGGAGCATTTTAAAGTAAGCTGTGGTCACATATTAGAGAAAAATAGATTTTATATATCTTTCGTAGGAGCCTATTTGAAAAAAAGCATTCAAAGCAGATGTCAACAATACCTACAACTAATTATTAAAGTGGAAAAGTTCATGAAAACTCATACAAATTTTAGCTTTGACTGTTTTTATTATATCATCTCTAAAAAAAAATGACAACAGATAAACCGACTGGTGAAGCCACATTGCCTATATCAATTATGGGGCTGCCAAAGTAAGGGATTTACACTATACAGTGCTGTAACTTGTAAAGGGTATTTATTCACTATAACTATTTTCTAATTTTGTTCCAACTTCGTATGGATTCTAGTAGGATTTAGTAAAAAAACACAGTTTTCAAAATTCTTTACAAACAAAACCTCTCAAAGTCTGCCTTATCAGGTTATACATTTATCCCCTTCTTACTGTGATATACCTAAATAAAATCTAGTACGACCTCGTTGAATTAATTATCAATTTTGAACTTTATTAATCCCACACTGGAGAAATTAACCTCTGCATTTAACCCTCCCCTTGGGGAGCAGTGTGGGCTTAAGAATCTTGCTCAGAGACCCAGAGTGCAGGCTGTGGAGAGCAAACCGGGTACTTGCAACCTTGTCAGAGCACAAGCGCACTGCCCTAACCCCTTGGCCAAAACTCCATAATTGGACACTATATTTCACCAAATGTCTCTTAATATTAACTAACAAAGATACTAACAAAATCCCAGACTCTGACCCAGAATCAGGCTACCATAAAGGTCTACTGGCTAGACCATCTGAACAGTGACCCATCCAGCAGCACACCCTAGGATAAGCTGTCCAAAAAGGAAACCAACAAAGGTTAGAGGTCTGGCAAAGTAAGGGAAAGATTTACAGCTAAATAAATTTTTGATCGTTTCCAGTGTTAAAGGTATATTGGAGGATTTTTGTGATTTTTTGAAAAGATTCGCCCTCTCCGCTTTAAAAAAAAATATGCACATGCACAATCCTGTACCCGCTCTTCAGAGGGAACCCCTATCAAATGTGTGCAAGAGCATGAGCCCATTTCTCCTAGTGCACGCTCTGTTTAAAAGTAGCTGTTTGCATTGCTTATACAAGCTTAGTGTCCAAAAGAAGATTTGCATTTTTTCCACTATGACAGACTCAACACGGTAAGGGAAAATGGGTACGATCACGTAGCATGGCCTTACGTAACTATATCACCAGAATGACTGACCAATTACTAAGAGGACCAATTATTTTGATGATCCAACCGCAAAAAGAACTTCCTCGACTATACGGAGTGGAGTGGTGATCTAGCGGTAAGGGCATTGCGCTTGGATCCCAGAGGTTCTGAGTTCAAGCTCCACTCCCACAGACTGCCACTCTGGGTCCCTGAGCAAGACCATTAACCCCACAGTGCTCCCTGGGCGCCGCACAATGGCAGGCCACTGATTCCCAAAGGAATGGGTTAAATGAAGAGAGTGAATTTTGTTGCTTTGTACTTGTGATAATGTAATGACAATAAAGTAAAAAAAAATGTTTAACTGTGGTGCAAAGCAAGCTAAGAAGAAGCTAATAGTGAGTATATGATTAAATAATGGTTTTCCTAACTGTCTTATTTTCATGGTTTCTTATGTTTTACAGGTTTAACGTGGGAGCATTAAAGATAAACTCATTACAATATCCTGTAGTTCAATCTGTACTGTTGAACTTATTGTATTGTTATTGTCCTGAAGCTTTAGACCGACAACCAAATCTATTCAGGTCATGGGTAATGAATTCAGAGATTGCAAAAAGAAATCCTGGTCCCTTTAGTATCCACAACATATTATCCACCCACAGCCTGTTAGCCCTGAGCTATAGATGGCAGAGAGGCAACAGTAACCCAGTGATGTCTTTAAGCAACAAGTTACCACCATTTCTGCATAATTGGTGTCAGAATCTGATTCTCTGATTTGTTAGCAGTAGCCCTCGGCTGCTTAACAATAGAGTACCTTTGCAGTGTATCTCACCCTCCAGAACAGTCCTGTCATAACGCCTATAAATGAAGTGCTCATAAAGCAAACAGAGGCACATGGAAACAAAGGCATATATTCCCATTAATGTGCAGTGTAATTTTGGAGTTCTACTCCTCTATATGGGCTGACAACTATTCATGTATTTGAAGCAGGTAGAGCAAATCATCAATATGTCTTTATCTCTTATTATACTAGCCCTTGCACTTATATATTATTTACAAAATGTGCACAAATTAAGCAAAAAAATAATTGAAATTAATGTACATGTGTATAATATGTGTGAATACAGATAAGTGAGGTGATCTGCTTGAGGAGAGTTGGTCTCAAGGACAAGTTATGTGATGGTTCAGTGTCTGTGTGCTCATAAGTCCTGCACTCTACTTTAACTCTCAGCACTGTTGAGCTTTGAAAGGCATCATACTCTGCTGACTGATTTATACGTTTGAAGGTAGATAAAAGGGTGGATGAAATAGGTGAAACACGTTGAATAAAAGCAAGAGGTGAGCAAGGTAATGAAAAGAGAAAACAGTGTTGATCACTGCCATACATCTGACAGAAAAGGATGAGAGGAGGAGGATAAGAGATGATGCAGACCAGGAGAAACTCAAGATGTATGGTTAAAGGCTAAGGGGACATCAGGTTTGGGACAATATGGGTTACATGTTACTGTAATTGGTTCTTTTTGTACAGTATTTAAAATACACAAACATACAGTTAAGATGAAGTGTGGAACAGCTATATACTGTAGTAGAAAGAAGTTGGTACAGAAAAAAGGTAGAAGAGTTGAAGGTGGATTAGTGAAGACATTGGCACAAATTTACATTCTAAATCCTTAGTTACTAATTTCTTTAAAACATACATATGTAAAACATAATGTTCTTTTGTTCCATTTAACACTTCTGTTGACATTTCCATTTTTTCTTACATTCTTTAAAGCATTTAAGATCATGAAAAAACTTTTGTTTGAGCAGGAAAGGTTAACTTAATATGTGCTTCTAATCAAACGCACCCAGAAGTAAAATCCCTGGTCCCTTTTTTTTTTTTAAGGTTAAAAGATTATTTTTATACTTTCAGGACTACTGAACAAATTAAATCTATTGAAGTTTACCGTTTCTTAAGCTGCTTTTATTTTAAAATATTCATTGAGAGTATTTGTATATTTAAATGTAAAAAGCAGAGATTAAGGCTGCTTTGCCCTAGTCTCTGGATTTGTTTTCCAAACACTGTTGCCTCTGCAGAGGTTCAGTTAAATTTGAGTGAATAAAATTCACTCAATTTATACTGGCTGATTCATGACAACTGTTTGCTCCAGGTATTAAAGGGCTTTTTTTTTTTTTTAGCTTTTTCTGACCATGTTTTAATGGTAATTTCATCATAATCATACCCAAATATCCAAACCCTTTATTCATGCATGGGTGAATAATCCTCTGCTCTCTGAGCAGTAGACCCCTCCCTATCCTGGAAAATGAGTGACCATCAGTGAGGTAGTTCTCCAGGAAGTAACTAACCTGATCGCGTTGTGCCTGCCCAGAAAATAACGCAGCCATTTCCTCAGATCAGATGAAATGAAATGGCTCTTTTAGAACCTAACCTGCACAGTGACAGCCACTGTTAATTTATTTTTTTTTTTTTAGGTTTTGTCTACAAGAAACCATAGAAAAAAATTTGTTTTATGGCTGCAAGAGGTTTCAGATTTTGGTCAGCCTTTATAAAAAAAGAGCATATTGGCTAGAAGTGCCAGGATACCATGTTGGAGGAGCTGATTGTCTTTCTTCTGGGCTGAAAATAAAAAAGCAGCAAGAAAAAAAGTTATATGTCACACCAAATGAATACCCCGAAGTGCCAAATGCAATAAAAGTGATATATATGTATATATATATATATATATATATATATATATATAGATGAAATATTAT